TAAATATTAAACAAGTCCAGCTTGAAATTGGAGAAGAACAATTTGATATTAGTTTTGGAAAGTTTGATGAAAAAAGTAAAAAAGAACAGAAAGAAGCAATTGTAAAATCATTAGATTGTGGTCGAATTACAAGAGAAGTATATTGATCATTAGCACGAATCGAGTATGATATACTACGTGAAGGAGCTATATCAGAAATAAAACAAAAAATAAATTTAGAAATGAAAAAAAAAATTCTACTATCACTTGTAAATATATTATAGCCAACTATATTTGAACCAATTACCGATACTTCAGAAATTACTGATATAAATATTATTACAAATATGTTAGAATCTATTGGAATGGGAGAACAATGTTGTATTACAGATATTTTGAATTATATTATACTTTTTTATGTTAACAAAAGTATTTTAATTCCAAAAAAATTAACTTTACATATTTGTATTTCGGGGGATAGCAGAAATGTAGGGCGCAAAATTAAGCACGTAATGGTAACAATGATATTGTTAAATGATCTAGCAGGATTGCAAAAACTAGACAACCACTATATACTTGTATTATATCCAGGTTCAGAATCATATGATTCATTAAAAAATGCACTTGCTCTATTAATTTCAGATCTTTATTTACTACATAAAAAAAATTTTCAACAAATCGATGGTACCCAGTAGCCAGTCAAACTTTATTTTAGCTCAGATTGGAAATTTTTAGCAACATGTCTTGGAATGAAAGCTGCAAATGCTAAATATTTTTGTTCATGGTGTGATTGTTCTAAAGAGAATATTAATAGTATAGACAAAAAAATTACTAAATCAATAGAAACAATTAAAATAAATTATTCTCAAATGAATAGGCATTTAAAAAAGCTTTTATTTTATATGATACCTATTTGTAACTAGGTTTGCAATGAACTACATATTCTTTTAAGAATAACTGATCAACTATGGGAATTAATGTTATCTGATCTTAGTCGAGAACAAGTTGACAAAACAATTTGGCAATCAAAAATTTTAAATGAAATGAAAAGACTTAATGTAACTTATTAGTTTTGGCACAAAAACAATAATCTTTCATATACTTCACTTATGAGGCCTGATAAGTTGAAGGTTTTACAAAATTTTAATCTTATAGCAATTTTTCAATCTAATAGTCGGGCTACACAAATTCGAAATCTTTGGAATTAATTTTATGAGTTATATAGTTTGATGCAAGACAACAAAACTACGGGTAGAATGTTTTATGAAAAAGTACAAAATTGGTTAATGTCTTTTCTAGCCCCATCTCAAGGTCAACCTAATAAAAATAACTTTGTTCGTGGAATGTATCATATGCAAGACATCACATTTTATATTCATGTTCTAGTAAATTATGTACATGAATTTTTGGATATTCATTATGATTTTGGATTAGTTACATTCTCTTGCTCAGCAATCGAAAAAAAAAATCACTTACAAGTTTGTCAGTATTTTCAAAACATGCTTAAAGATGGAGATCATGAGAATTCACGAAAGTCAGCTATTTTTGAAATTTTAGAATATGAGAATCGGCAACTTTATTTCACCAGTAATGATACTCTGAATTTTTTCAAGAAATCTAAAAAATATAGATTAGAATCTAAATAATTGACAGGCAAGAATAATAATAAATTTGCAATTAATTCAAATTTAACATTTTAAATTTACTTATTAATCACAAACACTTTGTATTCACTTTTGCCACTCTATTAGTTCAAGAAACCACTCTTAAATAGAAGTCATAGATATTATTTTTATTTTATTACAATTTTATAATTTCAAATTATTTTGCTATCACAATAAAACTCTGTCTTATTGCTTTAAATAAATATTTCCAATGCTTTTTTTAAGCATTTACTGTATCAATATTAGTATGTTTTTTAACGAACATTTTAATTTTTCTCTTATTTGAAATATAGTGACTATTAATTTTTTTTTTAATATTTATATCTTTGTAGTTTTACGAATAGTTATGAAAAAACTACACTGATATTTTTATAAGCCGCAAAACTATTAGACTTACCAGATCACTACTTCATAAGTTTATTAAACTTAAGTACGAATCATAAATTTTAGGGAACTTAAAATATATTTACTCTTGCACTTACATTAATTAACATTCATTAGTTTTCCTGACTTATGAAAATAAACTATATATCTAAGATCTATTTCTTCGAATTCTACAGCAAATCAGAAATATCGATATTCGTAGCTTTTAATTATTATCATATTTATTATTTTTTAATATTAGGGGTTATAAATGGATTTTGTAAATGGACAAGTAACAATCACAACAATGATCAATTAATTCAACAAACAATTTAATATATCGATGTTCAAAGACATCATTAAATAGATACCTTTTAGCAAATTCACAAATATAAAGTATCTTGTTGAAGGAGGCTTTGGCATCATTTTTAAGGCAGTATGGATTGACAGACATATTATAAGATTTGATTATTAAAATATGTACGAAATCGAACGGCACAGGTGGATGTTTGTTTAAAGGGCTTTGATAATTCTAAAGATATAAAACAAGAATTTTTAGAAGAAGTAAGCATTATAATTTATTATTAAAGTGTGATAATCTTATTTATTCTAATTCATATTTCAGATTAAAAATCAGCATAATCATGGGGGCAATTCAGCAATTGCGATTTATGGAATAACCAAGAACCAAAAAAATAGTAACTACTGGAGTACACAAAGCAGAGAAGTCAGAGAAAATTATTAGATAGTAAAGATGGTGAATTAGATTGGGCTTCTAAAATAGCCAATTTATATTATATAGCTAGAAAACGTAATACAATTTACAAAGCCAACCTAGTACATGAAGATTTTCATTCCGGAAATATAGTTAATCAAAATATGTTTAGCTCTTATATTACTAATTTTGGCTTATGTAAGCCAGTGTTATATGATTCAATTCTAAAGCACTTCTTGGTGTGCTTCTCATATGCACACGGAAAGGAATACACTCAATAATCAGATATTTATTCTTTTGGAATACTTATGTTAGAAGTTTTTACTAGATATCCTCCATACTATGATATTCAACATGACAAAGATCAAGCAATACATATTTGTCTGGGTTACAGATCTAAAATTAGATGCGAAGTTCCTCAATTACTTTTGGATCTGCTAAGTAAGTGCTTAGATGCAAATCCTCAAAACTGACCAACTGCTAATAAATTAGCCAATACTAGTGTTTGGCAAAATCAAATAAAACTTGATTTTTGAGTTTTACTCGATTTTGCCAAGCATTAGTTATTATGAATATGGAATTAGTTAAAAACAATTAAAATTTACAAGTACGAGTGATTCGGACGAAAGGTTTTGGCTTGGCTATTGTAAGTATAAAATTTGAATTAGAAAGGATGAAATAAAGCTTTCATTTATTATCAAAATTTACAGGTATAAATAATTCGGACAAAGGTTTCTGGCTTGGCTATCATAATTGGATGAAAATAAAGCATTTATTTATTATCAAAATTTACAGATATGAATGATTCGAACTGTAGGTATTGTGAATATGAAATTAGATGAAAATAAGCTGTTCATTTATTATTGAATTTACAAATATGAATGATTCAGGCAGCTTGATTATTGTGAGCATGGAATTGGAATTATGAAGAATGAAATAAGGCATTCATTTATTATCAAAATTTTAGGTATAAATGAAAATAAGGCATTCATTTATTATCGAAATTGATAGGTATGAATGAATCATACAAAGGATTCTAGTTGCTTATTGTGA